CAAAAAAAAAAAAACAGGTGAAGTTCATTTTAATAATACATTCTATTTCATCCATTTGTCATTTCAACATGCAACCGTGTGACAATTTATCAGTGCAATATTTTATATTATCATACTAAGTTTTCAAAACTCCATTGTGCTCATATATGTACGGTGCATCTCAATTTGGAGTAGCCACATTTCAAGCACTCAGGAGCCACATGTGGCCAGGGGCTACTGGATCGGGCAGCATTGATCCACACTGTTCAAAATCTGGCCCCCCAAATTTCCTGCACTTCTGATAGTGCCCCTTATCCTTGGCAATCCCAGTTTTTTCTCTGAGGTCAGTTTCTCCCCCAGACCTTGACCCCTGCATAACCTCACTTTATGCCAAACATCACCTCCCTGTGCACTGCAGTGGGGCCTTATCTTTGCAGGCCCTCATGGGACAGACACAGCTCACAGCACACAGCCCCAATGGACCGATGACCCATGACGTGCCTGAGGATGTGTGCCTCTGTCTGGCACAGAGCCCAGCACCTAGTGGGACCTGAGCATAGCGGTTGCCTTTCCCCACAGCAAAACCCTCTTCCCGACCCTCCCCTTCCCTGTTTGTCACACCCTTCCCTCACACACCAGTGCCGGGGCCCTCATCTGTCCCTTTTTTCCAAGAAAGACAGTGCATGGTCCTATACTTTCTAGTGGGAGGAAGACAACTTAGGACTGAGGCAGCCAGGCCCTAGCCTGGGTGCAATCAGACCCCAGATGATGACATTCTGACAAATGGGCACGAACTTGAATGGGTGTGGGTCGTAGGGAGCGAGGAAGGAGGGGGGAAAGGAGGGCAATTGAGGACTCTTCCTTGGCAACCAGGCTGATAGAATTATCCTTCCCAGCACACTCACACAGACGCCCCCAGAGAGAGGCAAGCTCTCTGTCATAAGGCACCCTGCAATGTGACCCAGCATCTCTAATACTTGCTGAGTGCCAGTTACCGTCTGAGCACTAACTTGCTGAGTCCTCCCTAACTCTAGGTGGTAGGAATCGTTATTACAAATGAGGAAACTGGGGCTTGGAGAGGAAACGCCCGAAGTTCCACAGCTAGCAAATGGAAAGGCAGAAGTTTGAACCAAGGCAATCTGGACTCAGAATCCACTCTTAACCACTATGCTAGTGCCTCTTAGAGCATATTTCCCAAGTTTGTGAGAAATTGTCTTAAGTAGTCTCAACACAGAGAAGTGAATCTCTAATGGGCAAGTTTAGGGAGCCATGACTCAGCATGGGTGGGAAAGATCTGGGCCTTCAGTCACCCCTCAAATGACACCAGGGAGTAATTGACATCCAGAAAGTGTCAGTAGTGACATCAGTTCCTAATCTACTGGTTTTCATCTCACTTCCTTCCTGGTCAGGGGCCAGATTCTGACCTGATTTTGTAGATGAGGCCCACGTTGTTGGTTCTCACCCGGAAGACGTCGACATTGGCTTTCTCAAAGGCAGATTCACTCCTACAACGAACACGTGCACACTTAGTAATCTGCACTTGGCTCACAAGCCTGGGAGGAGAGCCAAGGGCTGGCATCCCCCTTCTTCCTCCACCATCCCAGTCCTGGGAAGTGCTATGAGTAACCACTCCCATTCTGAGACTCCTTTCTGACAGAGGGCAAGGTCGGTTACTACCCGTTCCTTGCTTTCACACTCAAGTTGTCCTGTGATGTTCGCCACACATCACTAAGGCAGGTATGGTGGGCAACAATTAGCCCCATTTTACAAACAAGGAAACTGCCAATTGATCGCAGGTCTGGGATCAGAACCTGGATCCCCAAAGTCATGACCCAATGCCCTCTGGCTGCTCTGCGTTGGGACAGCGGAGGAGGAAGGAGGCCATAGTGAACGCCATGGTGCTCTTGGGTCTGCAGGCCCCCGGGCCTCTCCTCACCTGCCTTGCTCTTGCTGGGGGGAGTTGCAATGGCAGCTCCAAGCGGATGTGGAGCTTGGGTGGTGGCCCATGGTCCTGCCATTCCAACAAGAAAGGAAACGCTCAACCAAAAAACCAGCAACCAGGGAGGCGGGTGGTGAGGGAATGCGTATCTGGCGTCACAAAGACGGTGTGAACAAAAGCAAGTACACCTGAGATGTTCCTCAACGAGCTGCCTGGGTGGGTCCAGACTCTGGAGCATCCTAGGTTGCATCAGCTTAGACACAGGAGGGCTGGAGCAGCCTCACCCGGAGTCCTCCGGGAGCAGAAACCTGAATCTCGCACGGACATCTGCTGTGTCCTCTGTGTGGGCTCGGACCCGGCCATCCAGTTCCACTCACAGCTCTTCCTGCCCACACAGCGACGCCCTCCCCCGGAGGCCGGAGAGCCGTCGACCTCCCCCGGGGCTTCCAGCCAGGGCTCTCGTCACCAGCACTCAGCCCACGGGAAAGAAAAGTGTGGAAGACAAACACATATAATAACTAGGCCATCACTGTGCTTCCAAATAAAGACAGAGGGGAAGAGCCTTCCCTCTAAGGCAACAAGGCTCAGACTTGGTAACAGAAGGCCTATAAGTTCTGCACACTCCAAAGCTGTGGTTCTCTGCAAACAGACCCACTTTAGCAAATAGTCTGTCCCGAGAAGTTTCCTTCAGGTGGGCATGTCGTGAGACATGAGGCCTAAGGTCCTCCAAAAGCAGGGCAGATCTCATGAAATTAAGTGGAAAATGTACACTGAGGGGTGCCTGGGTGGCTCAGTCAGTTAAGCATCCGATTTTGGCTCAGGTCATGATCTCACAGCTTGTGGGTTTGAGCCCCGCGTCGGGCTCTGTGCTGAGAGCTTGGAGCCTGGAGCTTGCTTCGGATTCTATGTCTCCCTCTCTCTCTGCCCCTCCCCTGCTCGCACTCTGTCTCTCTCTCCCTCAAAATAAATAAACATTAGAAAAAAAATTTTTAATGTACCCTGAGGCAGGCTTGTTGGGGGGAAAGAGGCCCCAAGTTGTGGTCTGGGCACCGAGGGGGAGGAGGAGAAAGTGATGGAAACTTCTGGCTTTTTGCTCGAGTGAAAGGGCCCCTTCTCTGGGGTTGCTGCACATACCTGTGAGAATCTTATCTCCAAAAGTGATGAACAACAACCCCATGTTGTGCTGCAGGGTAAGAGGAGATGTGCAACGACGTGGAAAACACAGGAACGTCAAATCTAAGCACCATCAGGCTTGTGTGGGTGGGATATAAGGAAGTGAACAAGAGGTATTTTCAACCTATGAGACCAGGAAATAAATGTGTAGAATAGACAAGGGTCTCTACACCAGATAAATACCCTAAGAAATAGCCACCCTGGGAGGCTGTGAGGTAGAATATTACGCAGCCACCAAAAACTCCCATTATAATGTTAATGGAACAGGAACAGGTTTATGATATGGGCTTAAAAGAAAAAGCAGTTGCAAAAGAAAATGTAGGAACACCACGGGAGGCCAGCTGCTTTTAAAAACAATGAAGAAGGGGGCGCCTGGGTGGTGCAGTCGGTTAAGCATCCGACTTCAGCCAGGTCACGATCTCGCGGTCCGTGAGTTTGAGCCCCGCGTCGGGCTCTGGGCTGATGGCTCAGAGCCTGGCGCCTGTTTCCGATTCTGTGTCTCCCTCTCTCTCTGCCCCTCCCCCGTTCATGCTCTGTCTCTCTCTGTCCCAAAAATAAATGTTGAAAAAAAAAAAAAAACAATGAAGAAGAAGGATTTATACAAAACATCATGTCTCGATGGTAAGAGTATTATGAAGTGTTGCTTATGTTTTCTGGTCCGTGTATGTATTTTCTAAGTTTGCCAAAGGGAGTACATCTCGATCTGTGATTATGCACACGGCGACAGGTCCTGTCTCCACAGCCCCCCATGCCCCGAGGCCAGCAGCTGCCTGGGCTGAATCCTTGGGGGATGAGTTCGAGGCTTGTCAGGCTTCATCTGCTGAGCCACCTGGAATTTGGAAAACGGCGAGTGCCCATGAGCAGGGGAAGAGGAGGGTGATTTGGAAGGAGAGCAGCTGGTGTCCTGGGGGGCCTCTGACCACAGCTCCTTCTGGAGAAGCACTGACAGCTCCCTGCGCCCTGCACAAAGGCCCTGAGCCCAGGGCCAGGGAGAATGTGGACGCATGCGTTCTAGCGTGTTTGTTAAATAGTTGACCGCCATGCTTCACTGTCTCATGGAAAACACTTTGCGAAAAGCAAAGCGGAAGGAGGGGGACCAGGAGAGAAAGAACTACCAGTGGGGGCAGAGGGTCTCAGGACCACACCCGAGTGTTCCAGGGCATCACACAATGTGGAGTGATTGTCTGCAGTGTCAACATCTTCCGGAAGACGAGAGGAAGGCCTTGTGAGGGCCTGTCCTCAGAGGAACGAAAAGAAGGACTGTGGAGACAGGCCTACCCGGACTCTCTTCTTGCAGGGAGCGGCCAGGATAATCACAAACAAACCCCAACCTCAGCCCACTGGGGTCAGATTCCCGAATCCCCACGTCTGGGAAGTCAGAATGCAATGCCGGTGGGTTTCAGAAGCTGGAGGTGAGGTGGAAATACCAAAGCATGGAGGGTCCCCTGTCAAAGGAAACATTAGAAATGCAGACCGCTCGTTTCTTTGTGGAGACTGCGGCTTCACCGGGGCTCCTGGACACTCAGCAAATGAAGCGTAATGCAGTACCCAGCCCCCTCCCTGTCCGTACCTGCCCATTCAGCGGGGACCCCTACCCAGGAGAGGCTTCACAGGCTGCACAGGGCATTTTAGCCGCCAGCCTGGCAGGGCCAGCAGGCTAAAATGCCAGGCGTTCTCTGACACTCAGCTGGCGAATTCTCAACAGGAGATCCGTGTTCCAGAAGATGCATGAGATCCCATCCTTTTGCCATATTCTGAACATGTGACCCAGTCAGTGCTGGGAGTGGTCCTGGGTCACCGGGAAGGGCGCCCAGCATATGGGGGCCTTCCTGTGGGACCCAGGGCTGTTGACACTCAGCTTGGTCTGGGGTTGGGGTGGAGCTAACAGAGGATCAAAGTGAACACGTCACACTCTTTGCTGCCCAAGAGACGGGCCAGTGTGTACGGAGGAATTTAGACACTAGACCAAGAGGATAAGCACAATCAGCATGTTAACCTCAGGCACCAAATAATTGCAGCAGAATGATTCTGTATTGGGAAATAAGCATGCTGAGAAGCCATGTGGGAGGTCCTGGGGCTCAGGAGAAAAGGCAGAAGACGGAGCAGGAACAGAAGGGAGAAAAGAGAGGATGTAGGCGAAGCGGGAGAGGACGGTGGGGTGAGGGGACAAGACCAGACGCTGTGGAGAAAGCAGCCAGGAAGAAATTCCAGGATAGGCAGTGGTTTAATCTTAAGATGAGGGAGTCTGTCTAATATTCCATTTTAAGCCATTTGCTTGGCTGTGCTGGGAACTCCCTCTGGTGCCCTGAGTATTGGTGAAGTCTGATGCACTCAAAAACACCTTGTAGCCCGTGTGTGTGTGTGTGTGTGTGTGTGTGTGTGTGTGTGTGTAAGGCAAGGAAAAGGAGCTCAGTTCCAGTTGACATGCGAGTTGGGTTTGGGTGACACAGCGTGGCAAGGAGGGACCAGCAGCAGACAGCGAGATGAGAGATTCTGAGCCAGACCCCAGGGCGAGGGTGGGGGTGAGGGGTGGGCTGGAACACCTGCATCTAAATAGCACAGAGCATGGTGACCTCTGCGGCCCTGGCATCTGGGTCACCCAGGCAGCCTGGGATTCCTTGGAAAGTGGTGCTCCCCTCCCAGGCCCAAGGTCTCCGTCTTGAACTGAATGCATCTTAGATGGTGAGAACTGACTGTGTCTTTGCAATTCTCTCTGCAGACATTTCCCTGGGGTCTTGCGGCAGCCAGATTCATCCTTCTGGGCCGCATCGTAAATCGGGCCTCTGCTGATCAGCTTGCAAGCAAGGCCTGCCACAGCCTGTCCTCCCCTCCTGGCCCCTTGCTGCCTCCATGTGTCTGCAAGCTGTTCCCCGTGGTCTAAACTACCTTCCTCCTGCCCCTCTCATCTGAGTCTTTCCCTCACCCAAGGCCCAGATCACCTGCCCTTCCCTATAAAGTCCCACTCTGGCCGCCCTGACGGTATGACACTTCCTGAGCCCTGGCTGTTTGCCAACAACTGGGAGAGGGGCCAGAGGGATGAAGCAGACTCCCCTCATCACCCCTCCACCTGGCATCCCTGTGCATGTCACCTCTCCAGCCTCCCAGGACATATGCTGATGCTACAAAAGGAGACCATCTCCCAAACCACCCACTCCCCATGGGCTCCTGCAGAGCCCTCCAGGCCAGCCTGCCCGGAGTCCTGGCCAGACCTGTGCCCCTGCTGTCCCACCTGGAGCACCACACAGGTACGGGAGAGACCTCGGAGTAGCAGGGGGAAGGGGTGTTGACTTCTGTCCACGGGGCTGGCGGGAGGGCCTGTGTGTGACGCCCGGAGACCTCCCGGCCCTGCTCGTGTCTTAGCCCCTCTGCTGTGAGGTAGTACCTTCCACACTGAGAAGGAAGGCTGGATCTCACACTCCTGGAAATGGGGACTCAGGGACAAACCTTCACACCAGCTCATGAAGGGTGACTCTGGGGCCTTCCCGAGAGGCTGTTTTGACAAATGAAAAGGCCGAGGGGGAAGAGTGAGGGCACTGGGTGCAAGAAAGTGGGAAAGACAGTGAGAAATGACCATGAAAGGAGAAAATGGCTCTTTTTGTTTCAAAGGGGCAGGCTGGGGATGCTAGAAACCAGCTTGGCTGCATTCCCAGAGCCTAGTGGCTTCTCCCTAGAACGGTGTGCTCGGGGGAGGTCACATGGCAAAGAGGATGGACATTTCATGTCTTCCCTTTACCGTGCCCACATCACTGGTGAGAAAGACTTCCACAAGCCAGTCACTCTGCAGTGTAAGCAGTACAAGAAGGCGCGTACCCCGTTCTGCAGAAATGGACAAAATAGGACGTTATGCCTGCCTCGATGGGATCGCACTTATACCACAGCCCGCGCTCGGGGTAAACCTGGGACACGGGGCCAGGTCAGTCTGTGAAGCACAGAGTTCAGGGATGTCCTGGCCTGTGGTCCCCACCCCTCTATAGCCTCCCCGGCGCCCTTGGAAGTGACGACCTGGAAGCCTGCAGGGGAAGCTCCCACGCACCCTCTGGGCCACAGGGCCAGCGCTTGAGGAAAACGTCCACATCAAGTACCTGGGGTTTGAGGACCAGCTTTATCATCTAGGAGCTCCATGGCTCAGAGCTAATCTCCATTCCTCTCTAGGCCTCAGTTTTGCCATGAATAAGTTGAAATAAATTTAGTGGTTTTTCAAACTTTTCTTGGCTATAGAACTCTCGGTACAAATAAAATCTGACTCCGAAACTCGGTGGGTAAGACAACCATCAGTGAGCTACTCTGCAGGAAGGATGGAGGCACGATGGGCCCAGAACCAACGGACCGATCCCTGGTTCCATTCAGCACAGATTGAAAACCAGGGCCTAGACCACGCCTGCAGCCCCTGGGAAGCTCTAGAACGCTAGAATTCCGCCAAAGCATTCCCATGTTTTGCTCTGGGTATATCTGTGTGCACCTGTGTGCGGTCGGGGGACAGGGTCAAAACAAAGAGATAGCAGCCCCTGCTGTCAATGGATCACAATGATATGGGGAACACAGGTGCACACACAAACACATACACAGAGCACGTCTACACAGACACGCACACGAGCACACATGCTAGCCTATACGGCTGACTCGAGTGTGCGTTAGCAGGTTTAGTGTGACACTGGGCCCCTGGAGAGACACAGGTGCAGAGCACTTTAAGCTCATGCTTCCTTTGAATGTATGCTTTTGTTTCTTCCTCTCAACCGCCCTGTAAGTTTGGTAAAAGGGGAATTCTCACTCCCAGATGCTAGATGAGGAAGCCAGGCCGTTGGATGCAAAGAGATTTGGCCAAAGTTACATGGCAACCACGTGGTAAAGCTGGACCTAGACCCAGGTTTCTTAGTCCTGAGTGTCCTCTCCCAAAGCAAGGGACAGCTAATAAGTTCCTGGGGAAGTCAGAGATCCAAAGTGGGCGATACTTCTCACAAAAGCCAACAGGGGAGCTAAGGAATATTGGCTGGAGATCACTGGGAGAGACCTGGTTGACAGAGGCCCCGTGCCACCTAATATGCCTGTGGACACACAGGTCTTCTCCCTGGGCTCCAGAACGGCACCAACCCCGACTGATGGCCCGTGACCCCCACTAAGGCCAAGTTGGTACTCACTTGCTGGTGAGGTGGAGCTTGGGAGAGAGCCCATTCTCTCCAAAAATGGTGATGAAGACATTGGCATCTGTCCCTGCGCCGCGAACATCCCCCGTGGCTATGACCACCTCGTAGACTGGAGGAGAAAAGAGAACACATCACAGGCTTCTGAGAAAACCCAGAATCCTACAGGGGCCTGGAGAAGTCACAGCTCCTGCCAGCTGTGCAGAGGATATCCAGCCACAAAGGCGTCTATTCTATAAACCCCGCTCCAGCCCACAAGCCATTGAGCCATGGTCAGAGCCACACCAACTCCCGTGTAAGACCCAAACCTCCCATTTAATGCCACACATTCATCTTACAGGTGAGGAGCCTGCAGGCAGCAGGGAAAGCCCAGGTCACATACCACTCGGTGTCAGCACTAGAGCCCAGCCCAGGGCCTCTGGAGGCCTGGTCTGTGATCTTTCCAGCACGGCACTCATGTGCCTCCTAGACCTGGCCTTCTTCAGAGCCTGCACCTGCCCCTCACTCTCCTCTCTGCCCTCTACGAACACAGCTGCATTGCCAGCCCTCGTCTCCCGTGAGCTCCCGGGCGCTGCCATCACAGGCTCCAGACAAGGCATCCCAGAGCCGAGCAGAGCTTTGTCCAGTGTCCCTTCTTAGCAGGGGCACTGATTTCCCTTCTCTGAGGTTCCTAGAACCTTGTGCTGTTTGTTGTCGATGCCTTTTCTCTTGAAGTCCCTGGTTCTGATGAAGGTCTCGATCAAGGCACTACAAGACAAGAAAGGAAGCAGCAGTACATTTGCACAACTCCTTGTCTCTGGGGACAAACAAATCCTAATTCTTCATAGCCTACACCACAAGGGTGCCTGATCTGTACACAAGCCCTCCTTGGACGACTCCGGGGCCTGAAGCGTTGCCCACACAGCTTTGCAGGTACATAAGGGCCTTTCCAAACTGAGGGTCCACAGAAGAATGAGCAGGATGGTGGAAATCCCAGGACCACATCACCTGCGAGAAGACAGAGGCCTGGAGACGTGTGGTTTGGCGAAAAGGAGAGTCTGGGGCACGAGAGGGATGAGGAAGCTGCCTCAAAAGCTGATTTCAAGGGCACACAGCTCCTTCAACAGCACACTGGCCATAAAAAAATGTGATAAATTGGACTTAGTGAAAATTAAGACCATCATGAGAATGAAAAGGCGAAGATATTTGGAACGCATATGGCTATCAAAGGACTCATAAGCAGAAGATATAAAGAAGCCATACAAATAAATAAGGAAAACAGATACCACACTATTAGGGTAACAAATTGTTTAAAAGATAAACACACACTTACAAGAAGACCCAGACATTCCACTTTGGGTATTCACCTGGGAGAAATAAAAACATGCCTTCTCAAAGACCCACGTACAAACATTCAAAGCAGCTTTGTACACAACAGCTCTACACTTGATCTTAGCCAAAAGGCCGAGAAGCAATAATAATGGCTCTAAACTGGACACAACCTAAATATGCAACCGCAGGTGAACGGATCAACAAATCGTGATATAACCATACGACGGAATCCTACTCAGCAACAGAAAGGAGTGAACCACCCTTATATGCAATATAGGTGAATCTCAAGCAGGTTATGTTGAGCAAAAGAAGTCAGACATAAGACACTGCACACTATAATGCCATTTGCATGAATCTCTAAAAAGAGTAAACTATTTTAACAGAAAGCGGAACACAGCTGCCTGGAGTTTGCAGCATGGAGAATTGACTGAGGAGGGGCTCAGGGAACTTTGGGGGATACTTTAAACACTCTATACATAGATTGGGCTAATGGTCACACAGAGGTGTACATTTGTCAATGCCCATCAAACAGCACATTTAAAATCGATACATTTTGGGGCACCTGGGTGGCTCAGCCGGTTAAGCATCTGACTTCAGCTCAGGTCATGATCTCGCGGTTCATGAGTTCAGGCCCTGCATCGGGCTCTGTGCTGACAGCTCAGACATGGGGCCTGTTTCAGATTCTGTGTCTTCTTCTCTCTCTGGCCCTTCCCCTCTCAAGCTCTGTCTCTCTCACTCTCTCTATCTCTCAAAAATAAATAAACATTAAAAAATTTTTTTTAAATAAAGTAAAATTGATGCATTTTATTAAAAAGTAGTTACAGTTCAATAAAACTGTATTTCAATAAAATTGACAAATGGGCCAAAGATTTAAGTAGGCAAGTCATAGGCGAAGATATCCAAACGGCCAATAAACATATGGAAGAGTGTTCAGCATCACTGTTCGTCGGGGAAATGCAAACTGAAATTACAATGAGATACTACTATATCCCCACCAGAATGGCTAAAATTAAAAAGACTGACAGTGCTAAGTGTTGGCAAGAACGTGTCCTGATCTGAATGGTAATTACCCAAGCACGCACATACCTGAAAAGTCACCCAACTGTATCTTTGTGAAAGTTTTATACTGTATATATATTATTCCCCAATTTAAAATTTTTTAATTAAAAAACTTAATTCAGATGGCCAAAGAACGATCTCGCGGAGGACACATATCCCGGGGAAAACACAACATTCTGTTTGGCTCCAGAGGGGACGACCCCAACGAACAAAGTACCCTCCCTGTTCAGCACAAAGAACCATCAATGGCACCATAGCATTGCTCCTGGCACAGAGCCTGGCACGTGGGAAGTGCACAATAAATAATTACCTGGGGGAATGAATGAGCAAATGAACGTGTCAATCGATGAAATGAACATAGACTATGGAACTCAAGTGACCAATATCTGACCCCCAATTCTACCATTACTGGCTATGTGATAGCAACCAAATTTTGTACACAGCCTCCATTGCCTCATCTCTGAAGCAGGAACAATTTCTTCCTTGAAGGATTGTGATCAGGATTGAATCAAATAAAACAAAATTTTCAGTGTTCGTTTTCACTGACTCTATCACTTGCATTTTGAGGAACTTATCTTACAGACGCTCTTCCACAGTTGGATAAAAGATATGCGTTCCTCGAGTGGTAGACTGCCCTCATAATCACCACCACCATCATCACCATCATCCCTATCATGGTCATCATCATCTCCATTGCCAGCATCAAAGGCATCATCATCATGCCCGCCATTATCCCCATTAAAAATTCTCAGGGAGGCTTTCTTGGGATATTGTACCGCAACCGATGCTGGGCAAGCCTGTCTGGGCTGCACAAGAGGAGAGGGTCTCAGGGCTGGAAGCGTGTGCCGGATGGCCCCCAAGGTCCCTTGGATCTCAGGTTCTGAAATGAGTCACACTCTTCCCCTCATGGCCCTGTCCGAGCCAGGAGACAGACCAATGCCGGGGCTCAGCCTTCCCTCAGAGGATTGATGGAGCCGCTCTGCTCCCACTGGCTGTTGCTGAGCTCCACTGTAGCCTGGAGGTGACCTGAAGAACAGAGACGGACACCGAGGCCTTTCTCCTTTTCCTCCTTCTTCTTCCCCATCCCACTCCCCAACAGTCTCCCAATAATGCAAGAACTGGAGTTCAAAAGAGTGGGAGACATGTTGTTCTAGAAGCGAGAGAGTAGCAGTGACCACGAGGGTTCAGCATGTGACTACCATTAGCAGCATCCACGTTTACTGCCAGTGTCCTGCACCTGACTGGGAGGCCTGTGCACCCACATCTCTTAGAAATGTCAGCGTTACACCCACCTCGCCTTGCTCTTCTCCAAGCGCTGGTACCACAGTCAAGGTCAAGCTGCACAAGAGCAAGCACGAGCCAGACCAGCTCGATTCAGATTCTGACTGGGACTTGGTAGCTTTGTGATCTCGGGCGAGTTATGTAACTTCGCCACGCCTCAGTTTCCCCATCTGAGAAAAAGGACAAGGACCCCACCTGCTCCTCGGCTGGTTATGAGGATCACACTGGTTAGTATGAGCACAGTTCTCTCGATGCACCCGGTGCACAGAGCACCATTCCGTCTGGCGGCACTGAGAGGTCAAGGGGGGACTCGCCTTGAGAAAGGATATTTTAAACTCTTCTTCTCTCTCCCGCCTGCGACTTTGCTCAAGTCACTTAAGTTCTCAGGACCTCAGTCCTTAACCTGTGAATTGGGACTGATCACACCTGCCTTGTTCTTAGGAATCTTCGAGATCAAACGAAGATGGCTTCACGAAGGGTAAAAAGAAGAGCAAACATGTGAGGGACCAGATAGTCACACAGGCGTGCAGAGCCCCTGAACAGAAGTGGACAGGGTGGCAGGTCCGGGAGCTTTGAGAATGTGCTTCCCGGCAGGCAGCCGTGTGCACTGGGGAGCTGAGAGTACTTGCCGAGGGTGCTGCACACACATCCAGCTGCAAACACCCCCCCCCCAACTGGTGTGGGCTTGTAGCACCTGCGCTGGGGGAGGGCGGCAATGCCTCACTCGTCCAGGCACATCTTTTCTTCCTGCAGCCCCCACTCCCCACCTCCACCCCAGGAGGCACCCGGGACATCCTGCTGGGAAAGGGACCCCAGCTGAGCCACGGCCTGCATGCAGCGACCACCTTCTCTGAGCCTGGATCTGTGCTGGCAGCTGGGGGAGGAGTGAGGACAAGGGAAGGAGGGCCCCACCTTCATGGAGGGCGGTGTGGCTGAGGCTTAAGAGGCTACGACACTCCAGGCTTGCGTGAAGCAGCGGAACAATGAAGAAGTGGATGTAATCAAGGAGTTCCCGGTGGGCTGGGATTAAGGAAGGCTTCATGGAGGAGGGGGACCCGAGCTGGGCTTTCAAAGTTAAGATAGGAAGAGGGAGAAAGGGGAGGGTGAGCAAGTCCACGGGCAGGCACAGGGCAGGCGTTCAATGGATATTTGGTGTCTCAATGGATGGATGGGTGAATGAATGAATAGGTGAGTGAATGAATGAATGTGGTGCTAGTGAGCCACTTTGGAGTAAGCACGGAGAATTTAAATGCCTTCAGGGGCCAGGCAGGCAGCGTCCATGGGCGAAGCGGACCTAGTCTGAGCGACAGAGAGCAGTGGAGACTGTGATGTCCACAAATTGGATGTCCACAGCCTATAGGCGTTCACAGGCCAAACCTTTGAAAACATGGTAACGGCAAAAAAAAAAAAAACCCTGAACACCATCAAACCAAACCAATGACAACCCTCTGCGGGCCAAAATTACTTTCTGGACCCCGGATTCTGCCCTCTCTGATTATCTGGCAAGAAGGTAGAACCCTTCAAAGCAGCCCCATCCACCCCGATCGGCGGTGGGGGCGGGGGTGTGCAGAGACTGGAAGAGCAAGCCCCGGGGTGCAGATCAGTAAGCGTCCTCCTTGCTGAGCCCCAGGCTCCATCTCCACCGCTGTGGTGACAGCCGTCCCCACCCCGCCAGGCCAGCCGTGAGGGGTCAGGCCTCCCTCTCTCTCCCCTCCACAGCCCGAGCAGGGGCTCTGGGCCGTCAGACCACAGGGTGGAGGCCAGGTTGGAGCCTGGCTCTTGGGAGGCATAGGACTGGAGAGCATGGGCACCGCGGTTTGGGTCTATTCTGTGCCCCTGAGACATGACTAAGGGCAGCTGGCCTCGACTCTGTACAGGGGGCGACCCCGTGTGATGCCTGCCCGGTCACTCCCGGCGACGCAGCACAGACCCAGCAGGAAACTTCGCGGGAGGAGCCGGGTTGGAACCCGCATCTCCTCCTCCAAGCACAGGAAAGGGCCCCGCGCAGCCCTGCCCGCCGCCCGCACCTTTGGCCTTGTAGTACTCGTGCTCCAGCTCCTCCTCGTCGTCCTCTGAGGCGTAGTTCAGCAGCTCCTCCTCGTACAGGGCGAGAAAGTCGATGTCTTTCTTTCTCCTCTTTTTCTTTTGGGGCATCATCTTGCCGGCTGCCCCTTCCTGGCACTCGCAGGCTGACGGCACCCACCACCTCGCACCCTCCTGGCCCCGAGGCCTTTTCTCCCTGAGCTCCGGCGCCCACCTCTGGGTCCCCTGTGTCTACAGCCCCCTCCTGCTCCCCTGTCCTCTCAGGCCCCTGAGCAGAACCCCTGTGCCCTATCTCTGCCCTTCCTGTCCCTGGCCCCTCTCTCTGCCACCCTGTGCACCTGCCCTGGGGTTTCTCCTTGGGCCTCATCTCTTATTCATGGGGACTGCGGGCACGCTGTCTTCCTTACCCCGCCCCTCTCCTCCCCTCATGGAGAATCAGGTGACATCAAGCCCTTGGCATCTTCTCCCACCTGGCCTCACAGCAAGGGGGCCCCCTGGGGCCTCTCCAGGTCATCCCAGGGGTAGGTGGGGGCCTCCCCCATGGAGATCCCCTAACCTCACAGCTAGAGCTGTGAACAACGTCCCCAGGCCTTGGGGCCCTTCCTAAGGAGGGCACGGCCCGGAATCGTCTGAGCTCCCAGGACTCAGAGGCCTCTGTTTCTCTCCATTATTCATGACCTCTGCTCGCCTTACAAAGCAGGCAAGGTTCTTACTGGATCCTTCTCGTTCCGTCTCTCTGCTTCCATCTCCTCGTGACCGCTGGCTTCTGGAAGAGACCATTTGGCTGGAGGAGACCCTGCTGCCCTTCAGAGACGCTTCTCCAACCAGCACTCAGATAATCCACAAAGCATTTTCTGAGGTGTGAGTTACCGGTACCACCAGGCCAGAGCCATGGACGCTGGAGAGTCACGCTGCATCATATGTGACCCCCACAATGCCTGGACAGGCCAGTCAAGGTTAGCCAGCATCTGTTTTAACCGGAACTCTCCATTGGCCCACATTGCCCTCTGCACTTTCAAATGAAATGGTACAAGCCCTCTGAGCCCCTCTACTTGGCTGACATTCCCCCAACCATGGCCCCACAAGGGGGGATTCTGAGCTGGGGCAAGAGAACCGAGTCCCAGGGACCCCTCTCCACCCTCAATCAGCAAGAAAAGTTTCCCTTAGGCCCACTGGACTCCTCTTCCTTGCTTATTTTATTTTGCTAAGATTTTATTAAAGCACTTTGGCCTTAATTTTATTAAGATTTCTTACAACCTGAGTTGTAAATTTTCTGTGTAAATCCCCAAATGCTAGAAATTTCCAGTCTACGTGCAACTCCTATCTCTCTGTCTTGGCAGTGTGAGGTCAAGAGGCTAGAACTGCCTCACTGCCTCCTGGCTGTATGGCCTTAGAGGAGGCCTGGCCCCCCATCAGTGGAAGGGGAATAATGACCCACGAAGGCATATTGGGTACTTGGAGAAAGTGCTCAGTAAGCAGAAGCCTCTGGAACACAGTAGGGGCTTACTAAATGCCTGTGACTCCTAATGAGTGTTTCTCTCTTATTTTGCATGGTGTGTGTGTATGGGGGGTGGAGGGGGGTAGGCAATGCTTTGATATCATCTCAGATTGTTCCAGAAGCCCCCCTTTGGGTCCCCTGTGCAAGGACTGGCCCCATGTGTTCTCGTTCTTCCGTGGGGCCCAGTCCAAAGCAGCACATCAGAGACCACAGGTGAACACGCTGAATCATCTGTGTCCTCCAACATAGGGCAGAGATGTCCGTTTACTTGTTGGTCTCTCCCCCCGCCTCTCCCAGCCACAAGCTCTGAGGGGGCAGGCATCACGCCCCCTTGTCCTGGACCTATCATATGCCTGGCACACGGCGGGCTTCGGTAAGCATCAGTTCAGTGGATGAAGGCACAAATTGCAGGCAGATCTATAAAGCAGCCATGAACACAAGGCCCTCTGTTTCCGAGGAAAACAGTATGGGCTGAAGAGAAGTCACTTTCAATGATATGTTGGTAGGGTGAGTGTCCCAGAATGGGTACTATTCTGAGCACATTAGGCCTAGAGAACAGGTCACTTCCTCACAAATGTGAACAACTGTCCTGTAGAGCAAGCACTGGACTAATCCGTGTGGCTGTGGGCGGTGATTACAGAAAAGCAGGTTTCAACCCAATCCGGGAAGAAGGATGGGACCCCCCCAGGCCAGAGGTCCCTGGGTGACACACTGTGGCTGGAGGGCATCGCTCATGACCTACAGCAGGGGGCGCTCCAGCAGCCCCTGTGGATTTGGATTGGACCGCCCTCCATCCGGGAGCTGGGATACTCCAGGAGGCTGGATGGCAGGTGCAAACAGACAGTGGAGGAACCATGCCAGGTCACCCAGCACCACACGACTTTTCACCAGCTCCTCCTTGGTCACCCCTGTGTCCCACCACCTCTCGGCCCAGAGCTGAGTCCACGGACTGTGCCCTTAGCCCAGAGCCCCAGCGCCCAGGACCCCCGGCCACCACCTCACCTTCTCTGTTGTGGGTCTTCTCCCTCTGAGACGCTCTCTGTCAAGGTCAATGTTTCCTAAAGCCGGATTCCAGAATGCCTGGATTAGCCCCGCGGGATTCACCAAATGCCGATTTCTGACCCCACACCCCTACCCCAGACCTACCGAGTCCAAGTCTCTGAAGATGAAACTTGGGGATCCAGAGTTTCGACAAGCCCCTCTCGTCAGGGGGGAGGAGGGGAGATGGGGGAATGTCCTAAAATTAGAGAGCAAGAGGGCCGATACCTGCCCAGGTGAACTCACTAACTTGATCAGTTCACCTGGGCTAAGGGGAGGGGCTCAGCAAGCTTCCGTCGCCACACACAGCCTTATCTGCACATTGGAGTCACCTGGAGGGTTTTTAAATGCCGATGCCTGGGTGCCACCCCCAGAGATGCCGATTGTCCCTGTTTGCGGTGGAGCCTGGGCGCAGGGAACTTCCGAAGCTCCCGGCAGATGCGGGACAGCCAGGCAGCAGTCAGCAGTCAGCACTCACACCCCTCCCCAGAGTCTGGGGCAGCATTGTTCTCTCGAACCACCCGCGTCCCCACCATGAGGAGGCATCTCTGACCCCAAAGTCGTCACCCAGGAAAGATCAACTTCACCTCTTCCCCTGTTCTGCTGAAGGATCGCCCTGGAATCAGCCCAAAGTCCTTGTGAGGGAAGAAGAGCGAAGTTCAATCGTGGACGATGCGCGCCCCCTGCTGGCAGCATGTGGTTTGACCTGTGTTGTTAATTCTACCTTTGGGTTCTTTAGAAACAGACCTTAAAGAGTACAGAGAAGTTACTAGGATTGCTATGGCAAATACTATCCGTCCAGAGAAAAAAATAAAACAAAGTGCTCATTTTGCATGCAGGACGGTTTAGATTTAAAAAAAAATAATAATAAAATGCTTATTGGACTGTTCTTTTTTTCAAAACATTTAAAATAAAATATTTTGAGAAAATCCATGGCATTAAAACACGATAAGAGAACAGGGTCTGAAACAGTACCACGTGTTGATGGGGACATGAAACGACTAGAGCCCTCACGCTGCTGGTGGCAGTGGTAAGTGGTGCAGCCACTTTGGAAAAGAGTTGGCCCTGTTTTATAAAGCTACCCAGACACTTCCCACATAACCCAGAAATTCCACTCCGGGGTATTTACCTAAGAGAAATGAAAATACATGTCCACACAAAAGCTGCATGTGAATGTTCACACAAGCTTTTATTCGTAAGAGCCCAAACCTGGAACAACTCACACGCCCATCAACTGGCCAGTACTACTCAACCACAAAAAGGCAGGAAGTGCTGGACATGCTACAGTATGGACGAATCTCGAAAGCATTAAGCCAAGTGAAAGGACCCAGCCAGAAGAAAACTGCATTCTGCGTGATTACGTTTGTGTGACATTCTGGGAGATTTAAAACTGGACCAATGGTGGTAGGGGGTGGGCCGGGGGGCAGGGGATTCACAACACGAGAGGCACAAGGAGGCAGCGCTTTGGCTCCCCCCTACCTCTCTTCCTGGTCCTGCCTCGTGCAGGTGCCAGCCCATCGGGGGAAGGCCCACCATGCAGGCCTGGCCGCTGACCTGAGCCTCGTCCCAAGCTCTGTGGTGTTAGGACCCTGTGTGTGGTTGGCTGGGAAACAGGGCTCAGGGCGGGTTTGCAGACCCACTCTCCTTCCAGGCAGGGCCAAGGTCAATGCCGGCCCCTTCCTCCAATCTAGGCTTAGCATCCTCCAGTCCAAACTATATAGGGTGGTTCTTGGGGCGCCTGGGGGGTTCAGTCAACTAAGCGACTGACTTCGGCTCAGGTCATGATCTCATGGTTTGTGAGTTTGAGCCCCGCGTCCGGCTCTGTGCTGATGGCTTAGAGCCTGGAGCCTGCTTCCAATTCTGTGTCTCCCTCTCTGTCTGCCCTTTCCCTGCTCTCTCTCTCTCTTTCAAAAATAAATAAGTACTAAAAAAAAAACAAAAAACAAAACAAAACAAAAACATTTTAAACTGTATAGGGTGATTCTGTACCCTAAATGATAAAGCTGACACTTGGATTCCCATCAGTTTCTTGTGTACTGGTAAAAACACCAAGACCAGACATGGCAATTATAGGAATCCCAAACCTCTGATTATAGGGAAGGGGCTGTTTATCCCACAGACCATTTGCACATGCACACAAATGCATGCACATACACACAGAATGATTTCATTGCCCCAGCCTCACTCTCCTTCCAGGGCATCCTCCTGCTGCTGAATGAATTCTCTTAAAGCTTGCCTTTGGTCATGTCACTTTCCAGTTCAAACACCTTCACTTACACCTCAGTGCAAACAAATTTTATCAGCGAAGATTCTGGAATGCAAACAGCAGAAACTAACACTAGCTAGTTTAAGTAGAAAATTTGTTTAAAAAGTTAATATCGGGGCAAGGGGGTCTCAGAATTTCTGAGAGGTCTTAGGAGCTGCTCCCTAGAAAGGATACCTGACCCAGGGAGACCCCTACTGCCCCCAGTGATGGGCCTGGACACACAGTTTGTACCAAGCTTCAGCACTGGCCCCTGCTGCCCCTGCTGATGCCAACCTTTCCAGAATAGACTCTGCTGACTTCTGCCAATTCAGA